ATGATTTCTTATACCAAAATTAATCATATACAGTCTGTCGCCAGATGGACCTACCTATACTTGTATATGGCATGGAATATGGACACAAACTTTAAATTAATAAAATTTATATATATTATTGTTCTGACCTACTATATAAAAACAAACACTGTTTTTTGAGTTTCACTAATTTATTTTAATTTTGTTTTGACAATTGTTTCGCTAAATATGACTGTTAGAAGTTAAATAAAAACTTCTAATATTTCTGTGGCATTTTTTGTAAAGAAAATATTCATTATTATTAATTATATATGTCTTTAAAATGTGTACTATTACACAGTAGGTACGACAAAATTTAATTTTTTCCCTTCCAAAAAAAATTTCTATAGATTTTAAAATGGACTTAAAAAAATGATACCTGTGTCTCGGCGTGCGATCCAATAAAATGTTTTCCTCGGTATTCGGCACATAATATAACAGCTAAACTGTATATTTTTAAGAAAAATGTATTCACTGGATAAATGGACAACCATTAAAATTATTTATTTATTTTAAAATTATTTTAATTATATGAGTAATTCTTTTATAAACCGAACACCTTTTGACCGACACATCTCAGATTTGGCTGAAACTTTTTTTACGGATTCTATGTCGAAAAATAAGAGATACGTGTCCGAGGAATTTTTTTTCTCTCGCATATTTTCGATAATACAAGATATCGAAAATTTGAAAATAACGAATTTTTTGGCTTGGAGACTCATTTTCAAAAATTTATAACTCTGGTTCTATTTGAGCTACAAACTTCTTTTTTTTTTCATTTTAAAGCTTAAGGACTGAATTTTAATAAAAAAATATTTTTAATAAATATTATTAACAAATTCATATTGTTATTAACAATTTAATTGTTTAAATAAATTTTTAACAATGGCCCCCACCTCGTATTAAGTTTTTAGTATTTTTATCGTATTCTCCGCCAAATTTTACATAAAAAACATGTTTTCAAAATATGGTACCTTTATTATTACTATTGTTAAAACATTAATTTGTATTGCGCGACACATAAAAAAACGGTTTTTTGCTAATAAAAAGAAAACTATAGCTCGGATCAAAAAAAGTCTAATATAAAAGTTGTAGATAATAAAAAGATATACAATTTTTATTTTAACTATTTTTTGACATAACCTCACTTTTCAAATAAATTGAAATTTTTCAATTTATTTGAAAAGTGAGGTTATGTCAAAAAATAGTTAAAATAAAAATTGTATATCTTTTTATTATCTACAACTTTTATATTAGACTTTTTTTGATCCGAGCTATAGTTTTCTTTTTATTAGCAAAAAACCGTTTTTTTATGTGTCGCGCAATACAAATTAATGTTTTAACAATAGTAATAATAAAGGTACCATATTTTGAAAACATGTTTTTTATGTAAAATTTGGCGGAGAATACGATAAAAATACTAAAAACTTAATACGAGGTGGGGGCCATTGTTAAAAATTTATTTAAACAATTAAACTGTTAATAACAATATGAATTTGTTAATAATATTTATTAAAAATATTTTTTTATTAAAATTCAGTCCTTAAGCTTTAAAATGAAAAAAAAAAGAAGTTTGTAGCTCAAATAGAACCAGAGTTATAAATTTTTGAAAATGAGTCTCCAAGCCAAAAAACTCGTTATTTTCAAATTTTCGATAGCTTGTATTATAGAAAATATGCGAGAGAAAAAAAATTCCTCGGACACGTATCTCTTATTTTTCGACATAGAATCCGTAAAAAAAGTTTTAGCCAAATCTGAGATGTGTCGGTCAAAAGGTGTTCGGTTTATAAAAGAATTACTCATATACAGGTTGTTACACATTTACTAAATACGGGTGTTTTACGTTCGTGGTCCATTATAATTTTCTGATGAACGGCAAAAGATATCGATTTGAAATTTTTAAGGCGTTAAGAATCCAATTAAGCCTATTTTTCTAAAAATATTTTAAACAAAATGCCACTTCCTTTTGACCGGAAGTGACATCAACTTTGTTATTTTAAATAGAACACCCCATATATTTTTACATTTTTTAAATTTTACATAAAATTATTATTAGTAAAACTACTGTGCCATGTTCTATGCCGAAAGTGAATTGTTTTCGAGCTATTCATTTTTTTCGTTAAAATTTGACAAATGCACGTCAATCCAAAATAGCTTATAACGTTTTTGCTATTAGGTTTGCGGAAATGAAGGTGAAATTTTGAAATCTTAAAACATTGTTTAAAAGATTACATGTCAATTCTTTAACATTTACCCAAGAAAACCCAGGAAGAATTAGGCTAACTTGAAACGTCAATATCTTTTTTATGTTAAATGAAACACAATGTTTGTTTTTACATAATCGAATGAAAAATTTAAAAACATTTCGATTGATGTAATTATTCCCTATAAATAAATGTAATAATCTTAGAGATATTTAACAATTTCTAATATTAGACCCAAAATAGTCAAGAAGAGCAAGGTCTAAAAAATTAAGAAATGCTTAAATGTAAATGGGGTACACTTTGAACATTTAGTAATAAATTAGTAATAAAAAATGTTAATTAAAATATTGATTTTTTATTATTAATTTTGATTACAAAACACTTAATTAGTCAACAAATTGTTTATAACACGCTGAAAAACTGACGCCATTAAATTACAAATTACAAATTACTTGGTAACCACAGATACCGTCAACTTACCCGTCACAAGTTTCTTGATACAAAATAATATTTAAAATTTTAGAAATTGTTAAATATCTCCAAAATTATTAACTTTATTTATAGTAAATAGTTACATTAATCGTTTTTAATTTGCTATTTGATTAGGTAAAAACATAACGGGTATTACATTTAAAATAAAAAAGTTATTAACGTTTCAACGTAGCCCAATTTGCCCTGGGTTTGACATGGAATATTTTAAACAATGTTTTAAACTACAAAAATTCCACCGCCATTTCCGCAAACCTAATAGCAAAAAAGTTATAGTCTATTTTTGATTGACGAATTTGTCAAATTTTAACTAAAAAAATTAATAACTTGAAAACTATTCACTTTACGTATATATAGAACATGGTATAGAATTTTATGTAGACTTTAAAAATGTAAAAATATCTGGGGTGTTCTAAAATAACAAAGTTGATATCACAAGTGGCATTTTGTTCAAAATATTATTTTAAATAGACTTAAATGGATTATGAACGCTTTTAAATTTTAAATAGATATCTTTTTCCGTTCCCCATAACTTCCAATGGACCACGAATGTGAAACACATTTAGTAAAGGATAAATACAAATCTGTTGTTTTATTAAATTATTTAAAAATTAAAACCAGAAATAATTTTTTTACTTAAAGAAAATAAATTTATTATTTAAGTATAAGTATAATTTTTGTTTTTGTATTATGTTAAAACAAAATATTTGAAGAAAAAAAATGATTTATGACGTGACACGGGTACGTTTTTTTAAACTTTGTTTTTAAAATTTTTCAAAATTTTTTATGGTAGAAAAATCGTGTTGAACTGTGTTATACTATACTGGATCACAAAATTAACCGGATAAAAAATATGTTATTTTAAACAGATATTTAAACTTTAATTTAATAGCTGTAAACATTGTGTAGGTAAATATTTTTGTTTGCAAAAAATTGCATGTGGTGTAAATTAACGGTTTCAAACTATTTATGTATTAGATCCATAATGGCTATGATATTTAATTGAGCTCTACAGATTTATATTTAGTTTGTCGAGAATGGCGAATGCACCGGGATAATTTTTGTTTTTGTATTATATTAAAACAAAATATTAGAAGAAAAAAAAAATTTATGACGTGATACGGGTACGTTTTTTTTTAACTTTGTTTTTAAAATTTGTCAAAATTTTTCATGGTAGAAAAATCGTGTTGAACTGTGTTATACTATACTGGATCACAAAATTAACCGGATAAAAAATATGTTATTATAAACAGATATTTAAACTTTAATTTAATAGCTGTAAACATTGTGTAGGTAAATATTTTTGTTTGCAAAAAATTGCATGTGGTGTAAATTAACGGTTTCAAACTATTTATGTATTAGATCCATAATGGCTATGATATTTAATTGATCTCTACAGATTTATATTTAGTTTGTCAATAATGGCGAATGCACCGGGATAATTTTTGTTTTTGTATTATGTTAAAACAAAATATTTGAAGAAAAAAAATGATTTATGACGTGACACGGGTACGTTTTTTTTAACTTTGTTTTTAAAATTTGTCAAAATTTTTCATGGTAGAAAAATCGTGTTGAACTGTGTTATACTATACTGGATCACAAAATTAACCGGATAAAAAATATATTATTATAAACAGATATTTAAACTTTAATTTAATAGCTGTAAACATTGTGTAGGTAATATAAAAAAAATTTTAAACCTAATAATAACATTCTATTTAAATAAATTATAAAAAATAAGTATTTTTCCTATTGCAGCTAAAACCAATATTGCAGCTTACTTGTATTTAAAAAAGCTGTGCGTGTAGAAGTTATACTTCTATGGCGCAACTAAAAAAAATGTTTCCAATTTAAATTTACATATAGTAATGTGCAAATTTTTCCTACGATTTTATAAATTTATGCTACGAATTTTTCCCAATATTTTTTTTAAATTTATGAATATACGGGCAGTTTTCAATTACAAATCCAATTTTCTTGAAATTTGAGCATTACACGAAACATTATTATTTGTGCAGTTCTTAACTACCAGGTTTACATAAACTGAATGTAAGGGCAGTTTTTAATTATCCAGTTTTATTTGAGCCGCACGCATATTTAAACAACTACATATTGCAGAACACGCATATCGACGTAACTTACCCCGTGATACTCTCCTGATATTTAAAAGCTTTTCATATTTTTCGTGAGGCGGTGTTAAGCTATGACGTAACTTTTTTCCTGTACACAAACGTACAGTATTGTTCATTTTTTTAAGGCAAACCTAAACTTTTAATTTTATTTTTTCAGCAAGTTTCCTGGTTTCGGCGAAGAGACTGGCACATTTTGTCCTCCGGCGTGTTTACTTATACTAACGACGAGAGATTTCAAATTCTACACGCGGAAGGTTCAGACGACTGGACCCTGCAAGTTAAGTACGTTCAGAAGAGAGACAATGGATCGTATGTATGCCAGGTGAGTTCGCCTTTTTTCTTTTACTTTATTTTTTATCTATTCGAAACGAATACTGACCGGACAGTTTTTTATTTATAAAGGACAAATGATTCTTAAGCTATATTTATACAGGGTAAAATTGTTCAAAAAACCTCTACCTTTAAAAAAAACTGTGTTTAGGGTGCTTCAAAATATAAAATTTATTTTTTTTTTCGCTCTTACCCTCTCAAATGTTTCTATTTAATATAAAAAAATCCTCACCAAGTATGGGCGTTCCAGCTCAACTCTAAGAGATCGCTGTTTTTATTTTAGTTTCCCATTTAATTAACATAAGAAAAAAATAATTTTATGTTTGGAATTTTATACCTCTGTATCAAAGTAACTTATGGCAATGATCATTGCAGTTTCTTATATAAAATGTAACGCTCTACAAAAAAGCTCTCTAGAGTTATTCTAGGTCAGTTTGATTAACAAATCAAATCAAACTTTATCGGTATTTAAAATTTTATGGTACAATTAGCAGACGGAAGGTGAAAGGGGGCAAAACAAGGCAGCGAGGGGGGGCAGAATGGGGTACCCAAAAAATAAGCATATGAAAGTTTTTCAAAATTGTACCATCCTTTTTCTCGCTCTACAGGCTCAGAATAATTATTTTCGAATAAAAGCGTGAACTTGTGAGTCAATATATTTTCAAATAATTTAGGAACCGAAAAAAAAACAATATAAATAAATGGGTTGAGCTGGAACGCCCATATTTGATGAGGATTTTTTTATATTAAATAGAAACATTTAAGAGATTAACCAAATTTGGAACTTTAAGTTATTTTAGTTTATTACTTTTCATTACTTTTCTCAGTAAAAGTTTAAACTCTATGTATTTAATTCTAAAATGGTAATATTTCGATAAATTTGATTAATTTTTGTCCTATTTTTTTTTAAATTTTGGAGCTCCATTGCACTTAATATATAAACCTTTGAAAAATGGATCTTATGCTTAATATAAATTGCTTATTTTTAAGCTGTCATATTTTAGTCAAACTTTACAGAAGTAGCAATGCATTTGCCAATCATTGTAGATTGTACAGGGTCTCCTGCTTAAAGATCGACCCCCTTATCCCCAGAAAAAGGGCTGTTCAGAAAAACATATTTTTTTAATGGAATGCCCTATTTATTTTTTAAGATTTGATAGATTGTTTCAAGATAAATTTAAAAATGTGAACATTTATATATTTAATTTACAAATAACAATAATATGAGACATAATAAGCGCTTAAACACTACCCTTAATAGTAGATCTAGAAAAGAATTAAACAATAAGAAAGCTATGATTTTCCGATTTGGCATACGTATTTTAATCAGATTAATGGAATATATATGTCTTTTAAAAAATTAAATATTTATAATTTGTAGAGTATATTCACCTTAAGACAATGTATCGAACTGTAAATAAATATATTTATATTAAAAAATACATTTTTGAATAGCCCAGTAATTTTTATATAAAGAAAATCTAATCTCATTTTTAAAAAATTCATGAAAAATTATTTAAGAAAAAAACATTTTGAGAATAAGGAAAATAATAGAGGTCAACATTAAGCGGGACACCAAAGTCCCAACAGGTTACGGATACAGTGAATTTTCTGTCAGTTTCAAGCTAATTTCGTCTTATTTTCTAAAAATAATACAATAAATGTATTTTTTTTGTTTTAAGTTAGGACCTTTATACGCACAAAAAATATAGTTATTTGTTTTACAAGTGCTGAAAAGCGACTTTTTCATGCGAGTTTTTAAGTTGCTTACGAGGCCGTTAGGCCGAGTGTGCATTAACACTAGCTTGAAGAAAGCTTTTCTCACAAGTATAACACGACCCTTTTATTTTGTATTATTTTTAAATACAAAACAAAATATCCTAGAAACGTGTTTGACAGCTAAATGTCAAACGATGCTGTCAATTTCTTTTCACACAGACCTGTCATTTTTCACACAGAAATGTCACTTTACATTCGTGTTTTGCCTTGCCAATGAAAAGATTCATTTTTTAAGCAACGATGCCATCATTAAAAGTGACTTTTACATAGTGGTCATAGAAAAAATGCTTTGCATTATTTTCATAAAATAGGACGAAATTATTAGCTTGACATATTTTTTTGTATCATTATCATTAGTTGTTGATGATTTATTTATGTTTTGTAAAAAAATCAAAATATTTTTGTTTGCAAAAAATTGCATGTGATGTATATTAAACCATTAACATGTACCCTATTACGGTTTCAAACTATGTATTAGATCCATAATGGCTATGATATTTAATTGAGCTCTACAGATTTTTATTTAGTTTAGTCAAGAATGGCGAATGCGCCGGGATTTATTTATTTATTTATTTAAGTTCAGCTAATACTTGCTACTCTTTCACTTAATATTTTGTATATTTATAATAATAATAATTTCCATTCATTTCCAATACTTTTCTTTTATTTATTCCATTCCAAAACTCCTTCTTTAGTTTGCTACATTTTATATCTTAAATACAACCAATTTTGACAAATTATTTGACATTTATATATGTATTTTATTTTTGTGTTTACAAATTGATGTTTTTAGTTTTTAAGTTTACAATTGCAGTAAAATTAAAAAAAGTTATCTCCAAGCTTTCTATAATTTAAACAATCACTACTAAAGTGAATAATTATCGCTTAGGCTATAAAAATAATTTAGAGCAATCAGGTAAAGTTTTTAACCTCCTAGTCTGTAAAAAACCGTTTGGACCAGTTAAAAACTCGACTACTCAGATCTACCTAATCTTACTTTATACTTTAAATAATTATTATTGTTGCACGTTTTATGTATCGTTTAACAAATAAAATTGTATCTTGAAAATAAAATTTATGCAATACGCTTAATTTGAGTAAGGTACAAAAAGACGCTTGCCAGCTTAATGACATAAATAACCATTTATTTATAAAACTTTGATTATTGGTATTCGGTAAAAAGTACCAATAGATGGGATCACAAAATTTATTTTTTTTATAAAAAATTATTACAGCTTAAATAAAGTCAAAGTCTTATTGTTTAAAAATCATAAGATTAGATAAGATATGAAGTGTATTATTAAAAAAAAACATTTAATTATCTCTAATTAAGTCAGTAAATGAAAACATAATAATTATATTAATAATTTTAAATTACTAATAAAGTCAAAAATAAGATCAAAATGTATGTTAACCTTGAACCCTTTTTTATTTAAATTTATCGCCCTAATAAAATATGTTTCTTTAAATGAAATGAAATTACTTTTTTAGGATAAACTTTTAAAATTTAATAAAAAGTTTATTACGTGATACTTTTATGTTGTTTTAACAAGTTTAATTTAAAAAGTTAAATAAATATAACCTTTTTTTTCTAAAATATATCTTACTTTTATTGTCTTACACCTAAGTCGGTTGGTTTCGGTAAGATTTACAATTCGACAACGGCGGCATTGTATCTGACGGATTCAGTCAGGTGTTTCGGTCCGAAACAATTGCCTTCTCAAAACAATTGCTTCCCGGCCAGACTGGATTGTATCCAGGAGCGTGTGCAAACTTACAAGACTGGAAAGATAACAGCCGTACACTATCACTCACTCAGCAGGGTCTCTTCTGAACAGCTACATTGCTAACAGCATTTCTCTTTGCCCCATCTTAAGTAAACTTGCTTAAAGTTTCAGAACCTTGATGGCCAAGTTAGCTTACTTTTGTCTCCTGAACATTACCTAATTAAGGGTATACTATTTATTTATTTTATATATATATATATATATATATATATATATAATGGTGTTAAGAAATTAATAGTACATTAAAAACAAAAATTTTGGCGCCTATTGGAGCCCTTATTATTAATATTAATTTTATAAAATATAAATAAAATTTGTTATAAAAGAGACCCAAAAATCATTTATACGAGTATTATATTTTTAATCTATATTTTAAGTTTAAAGTCTCAGGTTAACAGAATTAAAGTGATTTTACATAAAAAAATAATATAAATATGGCATATGATATTTTTTGTAGTTTAATTGGAAAATATTTGATATTTTTTATTAGTATTATTTTTGATCGCTGATATCTTTGAAGCGGTTGATATGAAGAACTTTGACCTTCAGATGTTGTTTGTAGAGCGTGAAATTTCCTATAAATCCTCTCGTTTGGGTGTTGCGAAAATAAACCATTTCAAAGTTATAAGAATTCAAAATTAAAAAAAAATTCACGTGTTATTGAAATGGAAAAACAACAAATGAATTGAGGCAAACCTTAATATTATTATTAAGGGCTCAAATAGGCGCCAACATTTTTGTTTTTTAATGTACTATTAATTTTTCAACAACATTAGAAGAAAAAAAATAATTGTTTTATTTTTAAAACACCCTAATACACAGTGTGTCCACGGATTGACTTAACTACACTTAAAATATTTACGTAGACGTGGAGTGAGCTCCGTTGCCGCTGATAGTTGTTTATATACCCTCTTAGCTTTCCGGAGCCGAACATAACACAGGTTCAATCGCAGTCACGGTTAATGACGCGGAAAGCTAAGAGCAGCCCAGCAGATAAGACCTGAAGATGGTACATGAGATTGTACCGAAACGTCGTCAGAGAACCAAAAACCGACAACACGGAGCAGATCCCGGAAAACCATTAATACATATAACGTCCGTGGAAACCTAAAGCAGAACATATATATATATATATATATATATATATATATATATATATATATATATATATATATATATATATATATATATATATATATATATATATATATATATATATATATATATATATATATATATATATATATATATATGCTTTAAAGTATAGTTAAATTTGAATCAAAAATCAAAGTTAACGCCTTTTCATTTATAAAGCAAATTTCTCTTGATTTAGACGTCGAACGTTTTTCTTTGTCATGTTTATGTATTAATTTATGAAGATAATTAACGCCTTTAACACCTAATTAACCTATTAGTTCTAAAGCTT